ACCTTATTTAAAAAAACACCAGAAAGAAAGTTAAAAGTAAGTGATAAATTGGAAAAAATAGTTGCTGGATGTACGGCATGGGAGTCCTAGATTTAACCAATAGAAGTACAAACAATCCAGTTAAATTTGAATTTCAGGTAGACCACAAATAATCCTTCATTATGAGTATGTGCTGTTCATTGTTTATCTGAAAGTCAAATTTAATTGGATGCTCTCTGTATTTCGTCTGGTGCCTCAATATTACAGCCACATTTTCATGTAGATAATTTACAAAGAACTCTTATAATCATCATAAAAAAAGATGATCACCCCACTAGAACAGAGAGTAAAAGAGGCAATTCACAAAAAAATAAACGAAAATGTCCAATAAATAGAGCAAAACAATAAAAAAATATTTCTTGATATTAGAAACTTTGCACACACCATTTTCAGTGATCACATGCAGCTGAGAACTGGCCATCTTCATCTGATTACTCTAGCCTCAAATTCAGCATGTCCACAGTTGATCTCACTTTCCCATTTGACTCCCTCCACTCTTGTTCAAATGAGACCACCCACCCACTCTGCAAGAAACTGGGGGTTGTGGGGTGGGTCTGGACCTATGCTTTCTCCTCAGGCCCCACCTGTCACTAAGTGCTCTGAAATGGGCTTGCTGGTGTCATGGCTCCTCTAATTTGTCCTGCTCTTAGCCTTCAAAGTGAGTTTTCAAAAACACCAATACAATCATGTAAATCCACACCCAGCATTTGTTAATGGCGCTCTGCTGTCTGCAGGGACAAGCCCAGACTTCTTAGGATGGCATGTCAGACTCTTTCCAACCTGGCCCCAACCTTGACTGATTTCTTACTGTGCTCTGCTCTGCTCTCCCGCTACACTGCATGCCAGCTTGCAGGTTGCTGAACACACAAGGTTCACAATTAGCCTGAGTTCACTTTCCACTTGGGTTCTGGCAATCAAGACCCAAGACTGGGCATGCCTCAGATGAATCTCCCATGTTGCTGGTTTTATCTCTGTGTCCTTGGCATCTCCACTTTCTGGTGTGGACTGTGAAGTCAGTCAACCTGAAGGTAGTTCCTGCTCTGCCATTTACTAGCCTTGGGACCTTGAGCAAGTTATGAATGCTTCATTAGCCTCAAGTTTCCTCATCTATAAAATAGGTATAATAATACCCCCCACTGAGGTATTGTGAGGATTAAATGAGACAATGCAGATGCCATGCTTACTACTGTGCCTGGCCTATAAGTTGTGTGTCGTGCCTGGCACATAGCATCATAAATTGTTGGTGGTATTACTGGTGTTGGTATGTGTGTGAAGAGGTCGAAGCTCTGGAGTAAGAAACTATGAAATTTGTCCAAAGCTGCAGGTCATACTCAAATTGCTTGTATTCCTCCATTCTTTCTAGCCCACTGCATGTGGGTGATGACATCAAATGCCATATAGACACAGAAAGTTCCCAAAGTATATTTTTTAAAGCCTACCTTTCTCAGTGGGCACAGCCCTGGCAATAAACTAAACACCACTGTAGAAAAGGGGATGGGATTGCTTGAGGCAATAAATGCCCACAGACACCCTCCCTAGCAGTGGAAGTACTCTGTGTACTTTAGATATGTGCACAGACACACAGACACACACACCCACATGCACATGCACAGCTGGAGCCACACAAGCACTGTGTGCCTGAGTATGCTCCCCTTTCTGCTTTTAACAGGAAGCAGATAGCCAGAATATAGTCATCATTTTCTTTCAAAATACAAACTGGGCTTGGTATAAAGCCCAGTTAATTCAAGGGATCAATCTAGCAAATTCCAGTTTCTTATCAACAACGTCAATAGTGAAGTAGGGAGAGTCACTCACACCCATCATCTCAAGGTAGCCATTTATCACATCTTCCTGCATGAAGGAGAAAGGAAAATGTCAAACCTGGGAGACTCAACGTTTCTGGTATGTATTTGTATTTCAGGAAATTAGATCTTCAATATTATTACTGGGGAAACCAAGCCATGTAGAGATTAACAATTTTATTCCACAGGGTAGAACCTAATCTTGGGAGGCCAGGTAATTTGAAGTCCCATATTTTACAACAGTGTTTTGTGAGGATGGTTTTGTGAAGGCAGAGAGCAGAATGGAGGGTGGCAGTTAATTTTACCCAAGGCTCCGAAGGCGCTGGGACTTTGCTGTGGATGTTAACACCCGTCAGAACCTTGGCTCCAAGACCTGTCATCTAGAGGGGGAGGGAGAGCATCTCATATCTTCCTTCTCATGTGTCTGAGGTTTCTTTCGTTAGTGAGTGCTAATTAGGAAGACTTGGCATGCTTAGGATGAGCCACCAGAACCCCATGAGTTAGCAGAGGAAAAACAGGAAAAGGAAAGTAAGGACAGAACCTCGGGCTGTAATGTATTGCTGCCACAGGAGAGACGGATCCAGCATCATTCTCATGTGTATTTATGTTCATCTTTTTCTCCCAAATTTCAGACCATGCTAAGTGCGTGCCAATGGCCGATATGAGTCTGGTCCAGTCCAAGCCCCTCTCTTGGATTCAGAGATTGTAATACTCAGAAAACGCATTGTTCACACCCAGACTGGAGGATACCACAGGAGGCCTGCTGCACTTGTCACTGGATAACTTCAATGTGGAAACCAGCAAAGAGACTGGGACAGAAGGAACCTGAGGCAGGTGGGTTTGACACATCTGTTCTTGGGGCCCGAACCGCCATGTTCTCGGCATGCTGGAATAAGCCCTACCTGAAGAATCTATTTAAAGGATGTCAGATAGTTAAGGGAAGTATACACATAAATTCAACTATCAACTAATTCTACAAAGATTTTTCTAAAGTCTGGCCCCAGGCAAAGTCTGTCCTTAAACACTATTGGACAGACAGCCCTTCCCCCTACTGCATTGCTCTATCTTCTTTGCAGGAAGAACTAAGTGATAATATGAAATTGGAGAGGACAAAATAAACAAGTTGTGATGTGCCAGGTCCTGTTTTAACACTTGTACACATCAACTAACTGCACACTCACAACCCCATGAAGTAGTTTCTACTGTGTCCTAGCTCTACAGGGAAAGAAATGGCAAGTCTGCGATTTGAACAAACGCAGCTGGCCCTGGAGTCCAAACTCTCAACTGCTACACTGCACTACTTCCTCTATTGATGTATTTCTTATAATTTAATTTGAAAGTGAAAATAATGAGCTATACACAACTTCACATTATAATGTGATCCGTAGATTTAAAAACCACCTAGAAATTGGATTGAACTCTCACAGTGCAAGCTATATAAATGGCACGATATACAGGCAGCCCATGATCACTGAAGGTTGCTGTAGGAACTGTTTTTGGAATGAGTTATATATACATGTGCTTCAGCCAGAGGGTACGGATTATGCATTTGAACTGAGATGCATGTATACATATATCCTGAAGTAATTCTCAGCTTATTGCCCCAATTCTGTTGAAGCAGAAATGCACCACTGGGCACTGCAAACTAAATCAATAGTGATGAAGCCAAGCTGTCGGTGTGTTGATTGCTATGGAACAAACTACTCCAAGCACAGAGGCTTAAAACAGTGACCATTTTGCTGAGTTTACAGTTTCTGGGCTGGAAATTCTACTTCACAGTTTTCTGGGCTTGAAATTCAGGCAAGGCTTAGCTGGGTGATATTCTGCTTCACAAGGTATCACCCAGGGTCACGGTATGTTCCTCAGCAGGCCTTGTCTAGAGGCTCCAAGATGGCTTGACTCACATGTGTGGCCCCTTGCATAGGGCTGGGTGGGACGTGAGCTCAGCTGGGCCCTGCTCACTCCCCATGCAGTCTTGGGCCCTCCATGTGGTACCTCCAGTCAGGCAGCCAGGCTTCAGCATGGCAGCTTATGGCTCCAGGGGCCTAAAGCAGAGCTTCCAGCCTTCTTAAAAACTGGGCCTGGGGCTGCACAGAGTCCCTTCTGCCAAACACTTTTGGTCCAAGTAGTGACAGGTCAGCACAGATTCAAGGGCAGCAGACAGGGACTCTACCTTTTGAGGCAAGAGTGTTGAAAGATTTGTGGCCATCTTTAATCTGTCATCAATCGGATAGTACTTTATAGCACTTTATAAATTAAAAGCTTGAAGAACCTGTGACTGACTCAGGCCACCTTGAAAAGGTGTTGACTGCAAAGTATACTTTCTGAGGACCATGGGCTTTCAATGCCCTGCAGTGGGCACACAAAGTAGGGTCTGGGCCACACTGCATGGCAGCCAGCCTTCTCAGTAGAAAGCTGAATTAGAGTTCTCGGTAAACTCTGGTACTGCTGCAATTTTAGTTTATGAATGTCAATTTTTCATAACCCTTAATAACTCATTTTAGAGATTACTGGTAACCCTTACATGAAAATGGCTGTTGGCCATCTGGACGGCCCCAGAGGTAGAGCCTGATACAACGATTTGGCTGCAGATTGTTTTTGTGGGGACAATGCCAGGAAGCAGCAGTGAGCAGGGACAGTGAGACACGGAAGGCAAGGGAAGTGAAAAACTGAGGTGGTGTCATCGAGGTGACTGTTGTTGGCAACCAGGACTCAGTTCCAGTGCGTAGTGTGCATTCCTTCCAGAATTGTCCATATGAAGGACAGGAGGAAGGATATCTGTATACTGGCTCCTACCCCAGTCTCGTGGAATGTTATCTGTGGGAGGTATTAACTCTCCTATACTTTTGAGCAAAATGGGAATAGTGGGGGAGGAGATACCCAAAACACAAGAAGCTAAAACGGAAAGAGGACCTCAACTGAGGTAGGATGTTGTCAGCATGAGCTGAGCCTGAGCGCACATGGAACTGCCCACCACTGCTGTGGCTGAAGTTTGAGTGGGTGCAAGGGCTGCCGTCCACCTGGCTCTGTTCGTCTCTGTGGCAGGGATGAGATGTTCAGCATAGCTGCATTGGCTGCTGCATAGGTGACTCGGCCAAGTGTTCCCTTCAGACATGGTTCTGGAGCAAGCTCAGTGTCCTGAAGCTGATTACTGATACCTGCCTAGCCATCTACTGCTGTGAGATCTTGAGCAAGTTGTTTAACAGGCCTGTGTCTCAGTTTCCACATTTGCCTGGTGGTGATAACTGTAATACCAGCCCCCTGGATGGTGGTGGGAGTTAAATGATGTTACCCAGCACAGCACACAGGCTGAGTGTGTGGTGAGTGCCCTAATGTTGGTGCTGTGGCCCTCCCCTCTAGAGGAGCAGGTGGAACATGCACACTGTTAAGAGAGTGGAGCAGGTAAACGTTAAAGGCAGGCACAGATACAGTGTGATGGCTCTCTTGAGGCCGAGGTTATTTCCAAGTAAGGGGGTTGGGGAAGGCTGCACCGGGGACCTGAGAGCAGGTCTTGACTGACTGGTAGGTTTGGGCACTGTGAAGGGTGTGCAGAGGAGCAGGAATGCCAGGAGCAGGGCCATGACCAGGAATGCCAGCTGGTCTTGTTAGAAAAGTTGGTTGAGCACCTGTATGTCAGCCCTGGGCTATGTGCTGAGGATTCAGCAATAAGCAGGATGGACACAGTGCTGCCCTGCAGCACTCACAGAGCAGAAGCAAGCTGTGGTGTTGGCCTGGAGCCCAGGGTATGTGACTTGGGGGGCTGGAGCCATGATGGGAAGGGTGGGGCTGCATGCAGGCATTTACACTGAGTTGGACCTGGTTCCCAGGGCCATTCCTGAGCCATTGCTTCCTCAGCACCCCTGATGGGAGTGGACCAGGAGGGTGCCGACCCTGATGTACAACCCCTGCCCCACTCTCCCACACATAGAAATCAGCCACCTGCTTCATGCCACCTTTTCTGCAAAGCCTTTCCAACTGCCCTTGCAAAGGGTTCGCTCCTTGACATTGCTGGCTCCATCAGAGCAGCCCCCCTGTCCTCCACCTGACATCCACTTGCATTTACCCTCTGTGCTGTTAGGCAGGAACCTTCCCGAGAACAGAAGTGTGCCTGTGTTTTCCTCAGCTCTGAGGAGACCAGCATGTGGAGGCTTTCAATAAATGGCTTTTTTTCCCTTTAGGTTTGCACTTTTAAAGCTTATTTTAATTGTGGTAAAATACACATAACATAAAGTTCACAATCTTCATCATTTTTAAGGGTACAGTGTAGTGTGTTAAGTATATCCACATTGTGCAACCAGTCTTCAGAATTCTTTTTCATCTGGCAAAAATGAAACTTTATCCATTAGACATCAATTCCCCATCAGCCCCGATTGCGTCCCTGAGAGGCTCTGCTTTATTTTCTGCCTCTGTGAATTTGACTACTCTAAGCACCTTGTGAGAGTGGAATCCTGCAGTGTTTGTCCTTCTGTGACTGGCACTAAATGCCGGTCCTTGTCCTTTCTAAATAGTAGAGTTGCCTGTGTGGCTTGGATTGAATGGACCATAGAAAAGCCCTCCTTTTCTCCAAACGCCCTCCCGTCACCTTGTCCTCATAGCCTCTCTTGGCCTGTTTAGGACTGGCACGTCTCCTTCCTTTAAACTCAGCAGTGCTCTGCCAGTCTTCCTCCCCGGACATTTTGGTCAGCACAGATGGTGTAAAAGGCACCTATCTCAAGCCCCACCATGGGTTGGGACCAGAAAGCAGAGCCCAGCCTGATTCCCTTGTTCCTCAGAGCCTTGCCTGCCCAGGGCCTGACACCCAGCAAGCTGGACATGCTGAAATGCACAGTACAAACACGGGCCAAGTCAGAACGAGGTTTCATCTCTAATTTATGAGGGATGACTATGTGCTTGCTTCTCCCCTCTGTACCCACCTTCTCTCCGTCATCTCCCTTGTATTTCCCTTTCTAGCCCTGGCCCCTCTGAGCTATGCTATGCTCCGTGGCAGAGTACTTGGCACCATTGACCAAGGATATAATGAGAAGTTCTGTGGGCACCGCCTGCAGCAGCATGCCCACCTTGGTCCGGCAGCCTGATACAGTGGAGTGGCGGGGTGCACTAGGGTTGGGGATGGTTCTGGATTTTGCCAGGACTCTGAGCAAAGCTCTTCCTGGACTTCACATCTATTTTTCCTTTTCAAACTCTACTTTGCTTATTCCTGAATGTAGCTTATCTTGTATGGAGCTGACCCTGGGGGTGGGAGGGGGCAGGAGGTCCCACTTAGTTCATCACTCTTTGAGGTCCTAGAACATTCTTTGTTATTAGAATGCTTGCTAAGCAAAGGCCAGTTGAATGCCTGAAGGTTCTTGTCCTTGGCCTGGCATTATTAGTGGGTAGTCAACCCAAATGCCTGCAAGGATCAAGCAGGTACGTTACTATGCGAAGCCCTCAGGGGCACATCATAGGTGAATGTATTGGAGCATGCCTGGCCCAACTAAAAATAAAAATGAACAACAAAAATCAAGATACATTAAAGGTATCAGTGCTTTATACTTTGTACCTTGTTTAGGAGCCATCACAAGCCTGGGAAATAGGAATATTAATCTTACTTTATGGTTGAGGAAACAGAGGTTTGGAAGGGCTGCATATCTAAATCAAAGGAAAAATAGTAGGAGCTTCAGAGGAGGCCCAGGTGATTCTGGGGTTCCTTCTAAGATAGAAAGGTCCACAGCCCTTCTTCTTGGTGCATTCCTGATAACCAGGTCAGCTCTTGATGGGGTCTGTGCACCAAGCCTGCCTACTAGCTGATCAGGCATGGGGCTACCTACCCCAGGTCACCATCCATGCTCTGAAATGCCAGGAAGTTGCCTCCTAGGGACATCTTATCTCACATTGTGGCCTTTCCCTGTAGCCCCTGCACTGGCCAGAAGCAGCTGGAGAGCATCTGTTTGATCCAGAAGCTGGCGACGTGTGACTCTCTCTCTGGACTGCCTGTTCAGAGTGTGCGCATGAGTATGGGCCAGGTTGGGGGTAAAGGAAACCTTACAGTGAAATTTGTTGTAAGTCTTTTGCCTCTGCTTCTTTTTGCTTCCCCAGTAGTGTTTATAATCTTTCATCTTTTCATTTCAAACTACATGTGGTTGGGAAGAACCCTTGCCATCTACCTTTAGCTTGGGCTGGGCATGTATGTCTGAAATGTATTAGTGTTGGTAAAGATTCCCAGTGCTCTGGTCCAGCATGAGGAATACCTGCTGTGGAGCAATGTGGCTGGAAAAATGCATCATCCATATTAGTTACAACTCCTCATGCAGGCCCAGATTATCACCTCCCACTATTCATCAGAAAACATATACAGGGTAGGCAGCATTCTCTACAGTATGTTCTCTGGGTAAGAACCCGATAAAATGTAGAGACAAAAAGATTCTAGAACTAGAGAAAATATTTAAACTTGACAAACATTCAGCCTGGGGATTGGATCAGGGCTATCATCAGGCATCTTTTTGCCATGAATACTGTGGAAGTTTCCACCATGGTCCTTGGGGGAAGGAGAGGTGTGGGAAGCCCTGGGTGGTGGGCCACCATTTGGATATTTTCCCACATGCCCTTATAGTCAGTGTCCCAACCACCCGAGGACTCAAGATAACTCAGAACAACCTCAGGGCTCTGCTTTGGATCCCCATCAAGACCCAAGATGGGGAAAGCCCTTCGGGGTGCCCTCACTGGGCTGTGGGGCCCTGTCAACCCTGATTGTTAGAGGCCCAAGAGGGGAAGGCTTTGCTGTCTCACCTCATACTCTAACTTCAGTTTTAGTTTTCACTGCTAGCAAGTACATATCTGCTCAAATTTTTTCTTGTCCCAAGACTAATGCAGAAAAAATTAGCTATAGTAAGCAGTACAGAGAGCATGCACCATGATTCACCCTACCCTTGTCTCTGCTCTTGATGAGCTAGCGCTGACCTAGTGAGGCTCACCAGTAGTGTGTGTTCAGTGATCCGTTCCTAGTATTGTGTGCGTACTTGTGTGTGTGTGTGAAATATGTCCATCCCTTTTCTATTAGGTCTCAGATAATTCAGGGAAAAGCATGATGTGGGGCTTTGTTTCCACCTCTAGGGACCCAAAGTAACAGAAAAAAGAGCTTTATAGCGGAACCAGAAGGAGAAATTGTGCATGTGACACTGACTTGGGATCCACATCATAGTTTTGGTAAGAGGGCTCCCAGCAGGTGAGACCCGGTGTTTCCTTAAGTGTAGAGGGGAGGTGTGTGCCAGCCTCCTCCGGACTTTTCTGCTCCCCTTTCCTGCCTCTCCTCTCCCAGATGACCTTTTTCAGTGGTCACTTCTTTTTTTTGCCTTTAAGTGTCCCTAATGAGCAATGGGACATTTTCATCAAAGTTTTCCTTTTAGGCCTGATAAAGCTTGGGGGTAACACAGATTCAAGGGCAGCAGACAGGGACTCTACCTTTTGAGGCAAGAGTGTTGAAAGATTTGTGGCCATCTTTAATCTGTCATCAATCGGATAGTACTTTATAGCACTTTATAAATTAAAAGCTTGAAGAACCTGTGACTGACTCAGGCCACCTTGAAAAGGTGTTGACTGCAAAGTATACTTTCTGAGGACCATGGGCTTTCAATGCCCTGCAGTGGGCACACAAAGTAGGGTCTGGGCCACACTGCATGGCAGCCAGCCTTCTCAGTAGAAAGCTGAATTAGAGGTTCTCGGTAAACTCTGGTACTGCTGCAATTTTAGTTTATGAATGTCAATTTTTCATAACCCTTAATAACTCATTTTAGAGATTACTGGTAACCCTTACATGAAAATGGCTGTTGGCCATCTGGACGGCCCCAGAGGTAGAGCCTGATACAACGATTTGGCTGCAGATTGTTTTTGTGGGGACAATGCCAGGAAGCAGCAGTGAGCAGGGACAGTGAGACACGGAAGGCAAGGGAAGTGAAAAACTGAGGTGGTGTCATCGAGGTGACTGTTGTTGGCAACCAGGACTCAGTTCCAGTGCGTAGTGTGCATTCCTTCCAGAATTGTCCATATGAAGGACAGGAGGAAGGATATCTGTATACTGGCTCCTACCCCAGTCTCGTGGAATGTTATCTGTGGGAGGTATTAACTCTCCTATACTTTTGAGCAAAATGGGAATAGTGGGGGAGGAGATACCCAAAACACAAGAAGCTAAAACGGAAAGAGGACCTCAACTGAGGTAGGATGTTGTCAGCATGAGCTGAGCCTGAGCGCACATGGAACTGCCCACCACTGCTGTGGCTGAAGTTTGAGTGGGTGCAAGGGCTGCCGTCCACCTGGCTCTGTTCGTCTCTGTGGCAGGGATGAGATGTTCAGCATAGCTGCATTGGCTGCTGCATAGGTGACTCGGCCAAGTGTTCCCTTCAGACATGGTTCTGGAGCAAGCTCAGTGTCCTGAAGCTGATTACTGATACCTGCCTAGCCATCTACTGCTGTGAGATCTTGAGCAAGTTGTTTAACAGGCCTGTGTCTCAGTTTCCACATTTGCCTGGTGGTGATAACTGTAATACCAGCCCCCTGGATGGTGGTGGGAGTTAAATGATGTTACCCAGCACAGCACACAGGCTGAGTGTGTGGTGAGTGCCCTAATGTTGGTGCTGTGGCCCTCCCCTCTAGAGGAGCAGGTGGAACATGCACACTGTTAAGAGAGTGGAGCAGGTAAACGTTAAAGGCAGGCACAGATACAGTGTGATGGCTCTCTTGAGGCCGAGGTTATTTCCAAGTAAGGGGGTTGGGGAAGGCTGCACCGGGGACCTGAGAGCAGGTCTTGACTGACTGGTAGGTTTGGGCACTGTGAAGGGTGTGCAGAGGAGCAGGAATGCCAGGAGCAGGGCCATGACCAGGAATGCCAGCTGGTCTTGTTAGAAAAGTTGGTTGAGCACCTGTATGTCAGCCCTGGGCTATGTGCTGAGGATTCAGCAATAAGCAGGATGGACACAGTGCTGCCCTGCAGCACTCACAGAGCAGAAGCAAGCTGTGGTGTTGGCCTGGAGCCCAGGGTATGTGACTTGGGGGGCTGGAGCCATGATGGGAAGGGTGGGGCTGCATGCAGGCATTTACACTGAGTTGGACCTGGTTCCCAGGGCCATTCCTGAGCCATTGCTTCCTCAGCACCCCTGATGGGAGTGGACCAGGAGGGTGCCGACCCTGATGTACAACCCCTGCCCCACTCTCCCACACATAGAAATCAGCCACCTGCTTCATGCCACCTTTTCTGCAAAGCCTTTCCAACTGCCCTTGCAAAGGGTTCGCTCCTTGACATTGCTGGCTCCATCAGAGCAGCCCCCCTGTCCTCCACCTGACATCCACTTGCATTTACCCTCTGTGCTGTTAGGCAGGAACCTTCCCGAGAACAGAAGTGTGCCTGTGTTTTCCTCAGCTCTGAGGAGACCAGCATGTGGAGGCTTTCAATAAATGGCTTTTTTTCCCTTTAGGTTTGCACTTTTAAAGCTTATTTTAATTGTGGTAAAATACACATAACATAAAGTTCACAATCTTCATCATTTTTAAGGGTACAGTGTAGTGTGTTAAGTATATCCACATTGTGCAACCAGTCTTCAGAATTCTTTTTCATCTGGCAAAAATGAAACTTTATCCATTAGACATCAATTCCCCATCAGCCCCGATTGCGTCCCTGAGAGGCTCTGCTTTATTTTCTGCCTCTGTGAATTTGACTACTCTAAGCACCTTGTGAGAGTGGAATCCTGCAGTGTTTGTCCTTCTGTGACTGGCACTAAATGCCGGTCCTTGTCCTTTCTAAATAGTAGAGTTGCCTGTGTGGCTTGGATTGAATGGACCATAGAAAAGCCCTCCTTTTCTCCAAACGCCCTCCCGTCACCTTGTCCTCATAGCCTCTCTTGGCCTGTTTAGGACTGGCACGTCTCCTTCCTTTAAACTCAGCAGTGCTCTGCCAGTCTTCCTCCCCGGACATTTTGGTCAGCACAGATGGTGTAAAAGGCACCTATCTCAAGCCCCACCATGGGTTGGGACCAGAAAGCAGAGCCCAGCCTGATTCCCTTGTTCCTCAGAGCCTTGCCTGCCCAGGGCCTGACACCCAGCAAGCTGGACATGCTGAAATGCACAGTACAAACACGGGCCAAGTCAGAACGAGGTTTCATCTCTAATTTATGAGGGATGACTATGTGCTTGCTTCTCCCCTCTGTACCCACCTTCTCTCCGTCATCTCCCTTGTATTTCCCTTTCTAGCCCTGGCCCCTCTGAGCTATGCTATGCTCCGTGGCAGAGTACTTGGCACCATTGACCAAGGATATAATGAGAAGTTCTGTGGGCACCGCCTGCAGCAGCATGCCCACCTTGGTCCGGCAGCCTGATACAGTGGAGTGGCGGGGTGCACTAGGGTTGGGGATGGTTCTGGATTTTGCCAGGACTCTGAGCAAAGCTCTTCCTGGACTTCACATCTATTTTTCCTTTTCAAACTCTACTTTGCTTATTCCTGAATGTAGCTTATCTTGTATGGAGCTGACCCTGGGGGTGGGAGGGGGCAGGAGGTCCCACTTAGTTCATCACTCTTTGAGGTCCTAGAACATTCTTTGTTATTAGAATGCTTGCTAAGCAAAGGCCAGTTGAATGCCTGAAGGTTCTTGTCCTTGGCCTGGCATTATTAGTGGGTAGTCAACCCAAATGCCTGCAAGGATCAAGCAGGTACGTTACTATGCGAAGCCCTCAGGGGCACATCATAGGTGAATGTATTGGAGCATGCCTGGCCCAACTAAAAATAAAAATGAACAACAAAAATCAAGATACATTAAAGGTATCAGTGCTTTATACTTTGTACCTTGTTTAGGAGCCATCACAAGCCTGGGAAATAGGAATATTAATCTTACTTTATGGTTGAGGAAACAGAGGTTTGGAAGGGCTGCATATCTAAATCAAAGGAAAAATAGTAGGAGCTTCAGAGGAGGCCCAGGTGATTCTGGGGTTCCTTCTAAGATAGAAAGGTCCACAGCCCTTCTTCTTGGTGCATTCCTGATAACCAGGTCAGCTCTTGATGGGGTCTGTGCACCAAGCCTGCCTACTAGCTGATCAGGCATGGGGCTACCTACCCCAGGTCACCATCCATGCTCTGAAATGCCAGGAAGTTGCCTCCTAGGGACATCTTATCTCACATTGTGGCCTTTCCCTGTAGCCCCTGCACTGGCCAGAAGCAGCTGGAGAGCATCTGTTTGATCCAGAAGCTGGCGACGTGTGACTCTCTCTCTGGACTGCCTGTTCAGAGTGTGCGCATGAGTATGGGCCAGGTTGGGGGTAAAGGAAACCTTACAGTGAAATTTGTTGTAAGTCTTTTGCCTCTGCTTCTTTTTGCTTCCCCAGTAGTGTTTATAATCTTTCATCTTTTCATTTCAAACTACATGTGGTTGGGAAGAACCCTTGCCATCTACCTTTAGCTTGGGCTGGGCATGTATGTCTGAAATGTATTAGTGTTGGTAAAGATTCCCAGTGCTCTGGTCCAGCATGAGGAATACCTGCTGTGGAGCAATGTGGCTGGAAAAATGCATCATCCATATTAGTTACAACTCCTCATGCAGGCCCAGATTATCACCTCCCACTATTCATCAGAAAACATATACAGGGTAGGCAGCATTCTCTACAGTATGTTCTCTGGGTAAGAACCCGATAAAATGTAGAGACAAAAAGATTCTAGAACTAGAGAAAATATTTAAACTTGACAAACATTCAGCCTGGGGATTGGATCAGGGCTATCATCAGGCATCTTTTTGCCATGAATACTGTGGAAGTTTCCACCATGGTCCTTGGGGGAAGGAGAGGTGTGGGAAGCCCTGGGTGGTGGGCCACCATTTGGATATTTTCCCACATGCCCTTATAGTCAGTGTCCCAACCACCCGAGGACTCAAGATAACTCAGAACAACCTCAGGGCTCTGCTTTGGATCCCCATCAAGACCCAAGATGGGGAAAGCCCTTCGGGGTGCCCTCACTGGGCTGTGGGGCCCTGTCAACCCTGATTGTTAGAGGCCCAAGAGGGGAAGGCTTTGCTGTCTCACCTCATACTCTAACTTCAGTTTTAGTTTTCACTGCTAGCAAGTACATATCTGCTCAAATTTTTTCTTGTCCCAAGACTAATGCAGAAAAAATTAGCTATAGTAAGCAGTACAGAGAGCATGCACCATGATTCACCCTACCCTTGTCTCTGCTCTTGATGAGCTAGCGCTGACCTAGTGAGGCTCACCAGTAGTGTGTGTTCAGTGATCCGTTCCTAGTATTGTGTGCGTACTTGTGTGTGTGTGTGAAATATGTCCATCCCTTTTCTATTAGGTCTCAGATAATTCAGGGAAAAGCATGATGTGGGGCTTTGTTTCCACCTCTAGGGACCCAAAGTAACAGAAAAAAGAGCTTTATAGCGGAACCAGAAGGAGAAATTGTGCATGTGACACTGACTTGGGATCCACATCATAGTTTTGGTAAGAGGGCTCCCAGCAGGTGAGACCCGGTGTTTCCTTAAGTGTAGAGGGGAGGTGTGTGCCAGCCTCCCCCGGACTTTTCTGCTCCCCTTTCCTGCCTCTCCTCTCCCAGATGACCTTTTTCAGTGGTCACTTCTTTTTTTTGCCTTTAAGTGTCCCTAATGAGCAATGGGACATTTTCATCAAAGTTTTCCTTTTAGGCCTGATAAAGCTTGGGGGTAAATATCTTGAGACTCTAAATACAAGAGAAAAGTAGACTTTTATTCCCCTAATGCCACCTAACAACCTTCCCATAGTGTATTTAGATTCTTAGTGATGGTGAGGAATTTTTTAAATTTTATTATGCAGTACGTTTGAAGACCCTTAAAAACGATAGAAGAAACGAGACACTGAGACAATATACTTGATGAAAAATTTTCTCTTTCCTGTCTCTAATTATCTATTGGAGAAAATCCAGTGCACATTGATGGGAGGTGTTTCTAGCTTTAGCTGTGCTTCTCAAAGGGGGGTTATCCACGTTTCTCCATGTGACATGGCAGAGCAAAAAGAGCCCTTTGAGACGCAGAGGCCCTAGGTACAAATATCAACAGTGCCACTCAACAGCTGCATGATCTCAAGCAAATGACCTAACATATCTGAGCTGCACAACCTTTCAGTATCATGTTATTAAGTATCATTACATTATAGCTTTTGTCATTAATGAGAGAGAAGATGTAGGCAAAGCTGATCCTGGCATCTTTATGTCTTCTATTATACCTGGAGGGCCAGCTGAAAAAGCTAAAAAGATCAAACCAGGTGTGTCTTTTTAAGTTGCCAGAGATGCTGCTTTAAGGAATTGCTCTTTCCTATTTTCTTGATGGCATTATTTTATGATGTTTTATTTTTCTAGGAGGGCAGCTACTAGCTTTGAATCACATCAGTCTGGAGGGGTTCACATTCGACATGGCTGTTAGAATGATTCAGAATTCTCCTGATAACATAGAATTAATTATTTTTCAGTCAAAAAGTATGTCTTCACTTGAATTTAGTAGCTGGAGAGCCTCTTCTGTTTTCAGAAGCACATTATTACCACGGGGGACTGGAGCTTTAAGCACGTGCAGGTCTTCTGTGTTGCTTTCCTCATGGGAGTGGCTGGCAAAGAGGCAATGGAGTGGCACAAATCGATAAGCCCTGCAAGTTCATGGGCAGAATGGGCTCTGCTGTTGCTTGTCCTGCTGAACAGGAGCAGATTTTTCTAGTTCTTTATTAGACATACACAATATAGTCAGTGTGTTTTTCTGCCCACTCTTCTTGCATGATGTGGGGGACATTCTTTATGCCACCAAAGTCCTTTCTGAAAGTGGCTGATCCAGACTTTCTGCATGGTTGGAGCCTGGGTGTGCCAGCCTAGGTGAATCTCCTAGGTGGGAAGGAGGCTGGGAAACGTTTCTTGAAGTTGAATTTGCATTGCAACCATGCTCTTATTTTTTATTTTTAAAAAAATTTTTATTAAGGTATTATTGATATACACTCTTATGTAGGTTTCACATGAAAAAACAATGTGGTTACCACATTTACCCATATTATCAAGTTCCCACCCATAACCCAATGCAGTCACTGTCCATCAGTGTAGTAAGATGCCACAGAGTCACTATTTGCCTTCTCTGTGCTACACTGTTTTCCCTGTGATCCCCCACACCTGTGTACGAACATAATACCCCTCAATCCCCTTCTCCCTTCCTCCCCATCCGCCCTCCCACAACCCTCCCCTTTGGTAACCACTAGTTCCTTCTTGGAGTCTGTGAGCCTGCTGCTATTTTGTTCCTTCAGTTTTGCTTCATTGTTATACTCCACAAATGAGGGAAATCATTTGGCACTTGTCTTTCTCTGCCTGGCTTATTTCACTGAGCATAATACCCTCCAACTCCATCCATGTTGTTCTAGATCTGGCAGAAATTTCTCAAATTGTCTTGTTTACTGATTACAGCTTTCACTCTTTTGCTGTGTTTTTATCAAGTTATTCAACTTGGACTTTTTACACTTGAGTTTTGAACTAGGACTGTTATTTGTGACTCTCTCTTTATTTTGGTTTCCTAAACACTTTCCTTCTAGCCTTGTCTTATATTTGGAGAAGTTTTGTCAGGCTTCATGGTCTTGGGCTATTCTCTCTTACTATCAGCTCAAATATTGCTGCTCCCACATTTTTTTGTCAGACTCCTCTAAAACACTGGATTTTAAAATAGATATGAAAATATTATTTGTGGAAATTTACTTAGATGTATATCTGCTTAAATGGACAGTTCCACCCCCAGTCACTTCAAGCACATTGTGAACAAAATTCAATGCATTGACTCCTTCTGCCCAACTTATTTTCTTGTTTTCCCATTTTCTTTTATGGGCTTCCTAGTAGCCATAGAATGTTAGTTGGTAAAATACAAATGTTTCCATATACCATAACCTGCTCCTACTGAGAGACAGGAAACTTCCATTTATGTGTAAGTTAGGAGATCTTTGTTTTCAGTTAAAAAAACAAAGTTTTCTTAACTGTTAATCTGCTCTTAATATTAAAAGATTGCAAAGAGTTCTCTAATTGTTTTATCAAAGTAGTTTCTCATGCTTAAAGACTAAGTGAGTTGTCAGAGTATTTAAGAAAATGATATCTTAATATTAAAAGGACTAAAAGCTAAACTTTGCTAACAACTGTGTAACCTTCTTTATTTGCCTTTGAGGTATTTTGTTGTCATTCTCGTTAAATGGATAAGTATTGCTTCATAGCAACCTATAATCCTATTTAAGCAAGTGCCAAAGAAACTTTCTTCTGACAACTTCCCAAAATCAAATTCAAAAAAGTACTTTTATCTCTAGTTAACTCTGATATTTTCCAGAGGGCCCCTGGAACATGTCAGAGGAACTTTTTCTCACTGGAGAAAGTATTTGGCTAATTTAGCTTATTTATCTGATAGATAATTACCTGCTTAATTACCTGGAAAGCACTGTCAAAAGAATAATGATAAACTTTGTTACTGAATGTTTTGTGTTACAGAATATCAGAATTTCCTTATGTCAACTGTCTTATAGTAAGCTCTCATCAGATCTTTAACCATTTGTCATTTGTCTTTTGTCATTTATATTCACTATTTTATTACTCCTAAGCTAGTAAAGAACTAGACTTCAGCAGAACAGGTATTAGTTACATAGGATTAAGTAAACTAAGGAAGATGATTTTGTGGCTTTTTGTTTCAAATGTTGCTGATAAGGTGTTTTAAGCTTTTTCTCTTAAGCTGACAACAGTTTAGTAAATGACTGCCTTTATAAGCAGAATTGAAATTTTATCTTTCTCTCTACCTGATCCCTCCAGAATTAAAAAACTCTCAGTGACTATTTTTATATTTCATGGCAATATGTTTATTTGAACAAGTTCAATAAGAATCTGCTTTCCTTGTAAGAGGACCAATTAAAAACACTGGTTATATTACCAAAGCTTTGACCAGAACATCATACCTGAAAGACACATGTGTAAACTCAGATATGAACGGACAACTTTAAGAAACTAAGATTGACTTTATAGAGCCAACAAAGCCCCTTGGAAGAACTGGCCTGGTACCTTGCTTACAGGGTTCCCAGCAGCCTTACCAGGTGAGTAAGAAAGGTCACTTCCTGGCACCTACAGGAACCTCAGGATGTCTTGGAGACCGAGAAGAGAGGAATTCACCAAAATCTACAGGTACTGCAGGCAAAACCTGATGGCAAATCTTGCTGGGCTTTCTGGCCTCAAGAGGCCTTTAAAAGTTCAATCTGAAATTCCTTACAAAAAGTTCCAGCAAAGCACATTTAAAAGAGCCTATGTAATCAATTGCTCTTCTTGCTGTACTTATGCAAATAATCAAGCCAACTGTTAATTATTTTCTTAATATGGCTACTTCTAATAAAAATAAGGGTGATTATAGAGAAAAGTATTGTTTTAATAATGTAGTCTTATCTATACTAAATCCTAATACTAGTCATTGAGATGTAAACTCGATCCAGAATTTTAGTTTCCCCATGATACCTGGCTATGATTCTCAATTAGACTCTTCATATTTCTAGTATTCAGCCATGCATTCTTAATCTCATCAAGTTTATCCTTCCAGAATAGAAGTGCCAACCTTCCGAGGCCCTCTCAATTGACCAGTGATAGAAACTTAGCTGCACCCTTTACTGAGCCCCTTCTTAGCATGAAGCAGCTGGAGCGGTCATCGCCCCCTTTCCCTGGCAGCAGCTAGAGTCTCTATCTGTAGAGAAGAAAATGAGACAGAGACCATAAGCTTAGACAGAATAAAGTAAGAGCCCCTAGAGAAAGCAAGGCAAGATATTTACAGTCAGAGCAATGTAACTACATGCTACAAACCCCCACCCCCCACCCCACAATGCCCCTTGTTAGCCAGAAGTAGCCAAATCAAGTCATTGCCCATTATGACCAAAAGGCTGGAATGTAAGTTTGGAGGCACTGGGGGGAGGGGGGAGCACATCAGGCACTGACGACATGCCAAAGTCTCCGGCTGCTGCCCCCTCCCAACCTGTAAAATGTGCTTTAGGCTAGCCAATCCTTGTGCTGCTGTAAATCTAAGCTCTGCCTCCCCCTACCTTCTTTAAAAACTTGCTGCCTGCCCAGCTGGGTGTGACTTCCCTGGCCTGTGATAGCCAGACGGGCGAATATCACCCGGGAATTGCACTCAAATAAACTGCCCGGCCCTTTGTTGCCTCTCATTGCCTGCTTATTTCAGCTAAAATTTATCTTACACTACTAATCTACTCATCTCTTTCTAGTACTTATATCTGTCTCTTAAGTGGCTTCCCATTGTCTATGTTTGCCTCTATAAAGTGAAGGTGTGAATATCCCAAAGATGTAAAAGACTGCCCACATATGTGAGAAAGAATATCTATTCATATTTTTCTTTTATATAAATAGAAAAAAATCTTCTGATTTTCATTAAACAGACTAATAGATGTAAATATATATTAATAAACAGACATCAATTAACAGGTATACAAAATATATTTTAATGTTCCAAAACAAATTAAGAATTACTCCATGTTGTCACCTGACTTACCACCTAAATAATCTTGCTCCTACCCTATTCTCATATCCTACTGTCTAATTTGTAGTTTTCCAAAACTTGCCATTTTTCATGCATCCATGCTTGGCTAATTGTTTTCTGTATGTCTAGAGTTTACATTGGTCAGTGTGACCACCTAATAGAACCTAACCCGAAAAAAAACCCGAACTTGATAACAATTTGCACATACCTATCCCTATTTGTGACCATCTTCCATCATGTATGTCCTTCTATCAGAGCACCTGCTATGCATATTCAATGTAAGCATTTACACCTTTGCCCCTTTTAGAACGTAAGCTACTTGAATTTTAAGTGAGTAGTTGTTTTCATTCATCTGTGTATCTCGGCAGAGTTCCAGGCATTGAGTGATATATCAGTAAATATATATTGAACAAGTATTTTATCTATATATAAAACAGGGTAGTATATCTTAGCTTTCCAGAATAAATTCTAGAATTAGCAAAGTAAGGGCTTGTTTACACTTTTTTTATGGTACTCTGATCACTTAGCTTGAATTGGAATATGTTGTTGCAGGGACCAGTAACATTCAAGGACGTTACTGTGGAATTCACCCGGGAGGAGTGGAAGTTGCTGGACAATGCTCAGAGGACCCTGTACAGGGAAGTGATGCAGAAGAACTATGGTCACCTAATCTCAGTGGGTGAGAACAGCTTCTCCATATGTAACTCCCAGTACCTTGCATTTCCTTCCCAGCTGCTGGAACATGTAAGGCCCCTGTAGGGTTGAATGATACCAACTTTGTTTCAGGGGTCAAAATTCATGAATCCATTTGGGTGACAAAAAAAGATGTGTCCTCACCCTTCCTACTGCAAGAATCTAAATTTGCTGAGCCTAAGCAGGACTTTGTTTTGGCCCTAAAACTGAACTTACCCTTCAGAGTCCCTAAATTCCAAGCAACTTCTACCATTCTCTTTTCCATTAATAGGTTATTGTGTGAATAAGCCAAATGCAGTCTTCAAGTTGAAGCAAGGAAAAGAGCCATGGATATTAGAGTTAGAATTTCCACGTTGGAACTGCCCTGGTAAGTGAGAAATTATAGCCCATGGTATTAGCGTAGTGGTTGATTATATTTTTCAGGATTTAAAAAAAATAC